GTGATTTTTTTTAAACCTTTTATTATAAATCATTACTGCAAATCAAATCTTCACAAACTAGAAAAATTAGATAGACAACATACTAGGTGGGATAAAAATACAATTTAAAACCTTTTATTATATTTTTATTTGATATGAGTTGTGATTTTAATAAATTAGCTTAAATTAGCTTGAATTAATTAAATTCATTATCGTTTTGATAATTAAAAAATCTACTTTATATATATTAAAGATTGAATTCACTATTTGTAAATAAAAAATATATTATCACAGCTTGTATATTTTACTTTGTGTTTAAAAATACTTTGGACCGGCAATGAAACTAGAAATATCTTTCCGATCATGGCGGGGAAAGAAAAACCCTATCGCACTTCAACCTATAAATGCGCACGTGGTTTGACAAGCAATCCAAGCTTCAATGTCTGATGCCATGGTTTTCTTAAGATAGCAAGGAATAAAATCTCAATCGAACCCACCAGACTTGGTTGCAGGTTTGGCCACGTATACAGGCATGGTATTTGACTACGTGATATGTTCACTCTGTTTCCATATATAAAATTCAAGAGCGAAGAACAGAAACCCTAGCTGGATGCGTCTTATCTGTCTGTTTGATGGAAAGTACTCGTCTCTTTCTTGGTGTCTTGACTGACAAATGTCGGAAGATCTCTTGAGAATTGGTATATAGAGATTCGGGACTTGGGAGGTTACCTAAAAGGTTGAAATGGAAGCTCAACGAATTTTGAATTAAAACTGGTTTGTATTAAGAATTGATAGGTTTTATTATTTTATATTTCAAACAGAAAATAACCACGAATTATCTTTTTGCTAAATCTGAATCCATGAATTGTTAGTTCAAAATGATATTATTTAAAATGTTTATAATTCTTTATTGGTTCATTAAAAAAAAAAAGATCTGAATTGAGATACACACTTAAGCATACATGTATATAATATAAGATACTTAAAAACTAAGCTAATTTGATGTTATTTTCATTCCTAAAGCATGCAAGGATTAATTCTTTTCTATTTCTGATTTTTTACTATATTCTTTTAGGATGGGAACTTAAAAACACCCAATATGATTTTAATTTAATTGTATAACTTGAATTATGTTTAATAGCCATGTAATACTTACAATTTACAATGGATATGTACAATATTAATTCAGCCATTTTTTTATAGTATTGGACCAGATTAGCAAGTTAAATATCAATCATGTTGATTGAAAATTAAAAAAAGAAGAAGAAGAAAACATATATATAGAAAGAAATGGAAGAAGCTGTAATGAAAAAGGATTCCGACAATGTTATGGGTGCCTGAATCACTTTGAAGTGACTGATCTTATGATATCCAAAGGTTTTCAAACATGTGTTCAATTATAGTTAAAGACACGCTAGACAGGTTTTGGAGATTGATTTGGATAATAATTTGAGTAATTCAGGGGAGTATTGAGTCAATTTGAATTATTTATTTTTATTAAAATAATAACATTTTTTTTTCTTGGTGTTGACTCACCAAATTATTTTTAAAAAATCTGGTTTGATTAAATTTTGTTAAATCAATATCTTATCTAATTTAATTCAAATTTTAATTCGAGCTCGACTTTGATCCTTAGATTTTTCGAGTAAACTTCTTATACTATGATGAGTTTCGCAACAATAATCAAGTGGGTGCATGTGTAGAATTTGATTCATGAGGTAATGAACGTGACAGACAACAAATACACGACAATCAACGGAGGGCCTCTTGTTAACGTTGAAATGGAGAAACTTGTTCTGGCTCGATCAGTATATACTGACAATTTCACTAATCAAAAGCTAATTTACAGGGGGATTAAAAGTATTGTAGTGATTATTTTTTAAAATATATATTTTTTAAATTATTAAATTTATAATATTTATTATTTTTCTAAATTTATTTGTAATATCAAATAATCAAAAAATATTAAAAAAATAATTTAAAGTATTAACATTATTTATTATTTTTCTAAATTTATTTGTAATATCAAATAATAAAAAAATATTAAAAAAATAATTTAAAATTTTAAAATTTTAAATTTTAATAAAAAACAGGTTGAAACTCACTCCTAAACAGGCTTTGAATTGGAAACCTATATTGTTGATTTTGAGAGATAATAATAAAATCATTATATTCATCTAAAAAAAATATAAATCTATTTATTTATATTCTTAAATATTTAGAGTAATATTGGTATATTAGACAATATTTGATCAGATTGAACTGAATAAGACTAGACAAATAATTATCTTATCTTGTGTTTAGTGTGCTTTGAACTAGACTAAACAATTTATCTTTATTTTATATTTGGTAGACACTGAACAGGACCCAACTAACCTGGAGCCTAGAGCAATTCAAGTTTTAAAAAATAGAAAAATGATTTATCCAATATAACTTGGTCAAAAATCTAGATCGATCTATGACTCAGTCAACCAAGATAAAAACATAGGTAAATAATTCGTTGAATTTTTTTGTCAAAATGAGGTTGCTTTGATTTTTAGTAATTTAGGTCAACTTGGACTAACTCTTCCAATTCATGACTTAGGTTATGCCCTGGATTAACTCTCGAGTTAAGTTTTAAAATTATGATAATAATTATTTTTATTCATATATTGACTTGGATCGGGTTGACCCTCCCGACCTGTAATACTGGTCTTGTCCCAGGTTGACCTCCAAGGTTGGTTTTAAAACTATAATAATAATTATTTTTATTTTTAAATTGACCCAAATTAACTCAGGTTAACCTACCGAGTCCCGTGACTCGAACCTTGTGCTAAGTCGACCCTTAAGTTGGATTATAAAATAATGATAATAATTCTTTCTATTCTAATATTGTCTTGAATTAACTTGGGTTGACGATCCCAACTCGTGACTCAGGCTTTGCCCCAGATCAATCCACTAGACAAGTTTTAAAACCATTTTTATATTTACATTGACCATGTCAATGGTCAATCCAATCTGTGACCTGGACCTAGACTTAGATTGACTCTTGAGTTGAATTTTAAAATTATGATAATAATTATTTTTATCCTTATATTGATTCAAGTCAATGGTCAACTTAATTTGTAACCCAGACCTGACCATAAGTTGACCCTAGTATTGAATTTAAAAATATGATAATAATTATTTTATCCTTACGTTGACATAAGTAAATGGTCAAACTGACTCATGATTCAGGCCTGACTCTGTGCTAATCATCAAGTCAGATTTTAAAACTATAATAATAGCTATTTGTATTCTTATGTTGACTCGGGTCATTAGTCAATTTTAAATTATGATAATAATTATTTTTATCCTTACATTAACTCAGATCAATGGTCAACTCGATTTGTAACCCGAGTTTTTTCCTAGATCGACTCTCTAGTTAAGTTTTAAAATCATGATAATAATTATTTTTATTTTTATATTAACCAAAATCAACCCAAGTTAATTCAAGAAAAATGAGTTGTAATAGCCAAACTTTAGTCGTCTTCATCATCTCTAAAGTTTGGGGTTCATAACACATGGTATCTAATTGCAGTAACCTTTTATATATGCATCAGTCATTTATCCTTTTTTTGGTTCAAGTCAGTCCTTGAACATATGTTTTAATTTTAAATTCGTTCTTTAAAGCTTCAATTGTTCTAAATTAATGAAATCTAATGTAATTTTATAAAATCAAGCATTAATCGAGTGTTGTAATTTACTTGATAACACAAGGACCCATACAAAGCCAACTAAGAAAATAAACCTTTAATTATTTTAAATCAATAAAATCAAATGTTTTCGAATTAAACATCAATTTAGTGTTTAGATTTTTTTCTCAATACCATGAATGTCTCATAAAAACTAACTAAAACAAACCATCAAATCTAATCCTAAATTAACCTAAGTTATGACTTTGATTTAAATTATTCATATTTTTTATTATATCAAAACAAAATGTTTAGGAGTGCAATCCAAATAAAGGTTTGTACACATGGATCCTATTTGAGAGTGTAGTCCAAACAAAGATTTATGAAAATTCAATTTTTTTTTACTTAAATTTTTTTTTTATGTTTTCATATTGTTGTAATATGTCAATATCAAAAATTAAATTTAAAAAATAAAAAATATTTTTTTTTTAACAATAAATATTTTAAAAAACAATAACATTCTTAAATATTTAAATTCAAAACACACGTACCATTTTTACATTAACAGAGAGAGTTTGTTTAAAGGAAAGAAGGGACCAAGCTAGAGATGGAGAAAAGGAGTCGGTTGAGAGAGTGTTTTTAATAATGTGATATTGTTTTTAATTATTTAATAACATAGCATCTATTTTAATGCAACAAAGCTAGATATAAATAATTATAGATCGATTACCATAAAAAAAAAAAATTAATCAGAATTCAACTACCGATGTGATTACAATATATTCATCAATATCCCATATCATAATAATCAACTTCCTTAGAATTCATTCCCCCCCGCATATGCATACAAGTCTTTCTATTTTAAAAAAAATACAAATACAAATGCCTAACTCTACTTCATACAGGATGAACCTCGGAATGCTGGAAACCAACAATGGCAGCACAAACGTGTCACATCTTCCTGCACCCACATATATAATAAAATTAAAATCTTAAAACCGAACCCTTCAACCCTGAAAATATAGTCTAATATATCAGTTTCTGAATTTATTCTTTAAAAATTATTAGTTTAAATATCATAAATTTTAGTTATTAAAAACTTATTTAATTATTAACTTTAAAATTTTAAGAAGGAATTAATTAAAATGCATATAAATTATCTTCATTTTTTTATTAAAAAAAACTTAACGCTGAAGATTAAAATGAAATTATTATTCTCGTAGTCGAAGACAATAGCTGACGAGGCATTTCTAGTCAGGTAAAGTCTTGTTGCATTGGGCTTTAGAATTCCAAGTGATGAACTTTTCAACGAGGAAACCCCACAAGAGCAACGCACCATACACGCACAGGTCTCCTTTCTAACAAGCAAAATCACGAGACAGACAAGACAGCCATTCAAACATTCTACAGGTGGCTTATATAAATGTCTCTTCAAGGTTCCGAAGCGAAGACTACTACCACTATATTGAAGATGATATTTTTCCTAAAATCTTTGTCAAGATCAGTCCATGATCAAGAACATTATCACGAGCCAGTTGCTGAGACCGAGGAGGTCGAGAACAAGATTAGTACTGCTGGCAAGTGCACTTCATTAACAGTGTGGAGAAAGTCACTCTTAATTAGTTGCAATGGGTTTACAGTTATCAATTCTTGTGGAGATTTAGTTTATCGCGTTGATAATTACATTGATCGTCCTGAGGAACTCATTCTTATGGATGGCTCAGGGAAATCAATCCTCACAATGCGTCGACGTAAGGTAATTAGCCCTTTTATTTTCGCATTTTATTCGTTTTTGAGTTCTTTGGGCTAAAAAAGGTCAGAATTCGAACCTGGGACCTTATAAAGACGGATCAAATTAAGATATATCGGTCTCTTCTTCAAACTTGGTTTTTTATATATATAATTGCAGAAGCTTGGAGTACGAATTGATAGCTGGCTTGTCTATGAAGGTGAAGTAGGCAACCCTTGCGCTAGAACCAAGTTATCAAAGAATCCAATTTGGTGTGTCAGGAAGAATACGAATCACAATGCACTTGCTTATGTTTTTCGAGGATCCTCGGATAAAAGACCTTCGTTTGTGATCGAAGGTTCTTATACGCATAGATCATGCAAAGTTTTAGATGGATCAAGAAAGGTTTTGGCTGAGATCAAGAGGAAAGAAGCTATAGTTGGAGGTGTTTCTTATGGGGTAGAGGTTTTTGTTTTGAATGTAGAACCGGGATTTGATCCTGGTTTTGCCATGGGTTTGGTTCTCATATTGGATCAAATATTTTCCTAATTTTGATTTCTTTTCTTTTCCTTTCTTGGGTTAGGAATTAGTCTTTGTAATGAGAATGCAAGATATGCATGTCCATATGTTTTGGCCACAATATTAAGGAAATAGACGTCCCGAGGAGCACTGATCGGTTAGAAAAAAGAAATATGAATGAGTGGTGATTATTATTGAGGTGACAATCAATCTTGGCTCCAAAGATTAAGAAAAAACACAGTTAATTCCCATCTGTCTTCTGATCTGATGAAAGGAATTGCTCTCTCTCTCTCTCTCTCTCTCTCTGTTCCATTGATGAAATGTAAAGTTGAAAAAAGAAAATGAGATGAGCCTGTGGCAGTTAAAGTGTTATTCTAAATTCCCGGAGATGTTCTTTTGAAAGAATGGTTCTATCCTTCTTTAACAGTCAAAAAAGAAAAGGAAAAGGGAAAAGGAAACAGTGTAGCCTTTTCAAAGCTGCAAGTAATACCAGCAATCTTAAGCTTTTCCTTTTGGGATAGAAAATAACAAGTCTACAAATTACTACTCTCTTCATTGTCTGAGACTCGATAAGAAGCACACAAATTAATCTCTTCAGTTTCCACCAAAGCTTCTGGGTGCGTGAAGACTGGAGAGATGCGGGTGTTGATCCCCGTACATCTCGAGCGCTCTGCTATCTGAGCCAGGTCCCCATTATCTGAGAGTGATGAATATATTCAAAGACGACATCTTGCCTGGAACCATCGTGCATCATGTCTCTACTGAATTTGAATCTAAATATTTTTCCGCATAGGACTTCAGATTATTAACCAGATCTCACCTAGAACATCCACTGGTTTCTTTGCACTATGGACCGTTGGCAACTCTTTTCGTTTTAAAATACAGGTGGTTCTCCAAATATTCAACTTCAACCGATCAGCTTCTCATAAAAACTTCAACAAGTCAAACGGGGAAAAGAGCTGAAATTCCTATTGCCTCATTGAAATGCTTTACACAAGGCAAAGAATTACCTGCTGTAAAGTACAACTACTGTCCTTAATGGTACAACATTGTTGCTCATCCCTCGAGATGAACCCTAACAACAAATCCCGTCCGCCTACAGTCTAAAAACCCATACAACAATCCCACAATATGTACACATCTGTCCAGCACAGTTGGCTGGCCCAACAGCGGTGTTGATGAATTACAAGAATTGATTAGAATGAAGAGGCTTCTGAATCTTAAATATCAGTCCTGCCCAACATTCTCTGTTTCAATCCATCTGCATCTATTTACGAACCTTTTGCTGACCATTGTAAGTCCTGTGAAGAACTTTGGCAGGTGGGCGCATCATACACGTTTGCTTTAAGATGTAAGCAGCAGAATGCCTACTTTCTGCAATTGAGTCTCCAATTGATTTATTGGGAGATGATCTACTAGATTTTGGAGTAGACCAATTTATTGCCCCTTTCCCAAGACCGTTGATATGACCATGATCCTTTTTGTCCCCAATCGTTGAGAGTTTAGGCCTCTTTGAGGGCGTTATCTGGTCCACACCACCCATTGACGAAGTTGATGCTGCAGATACATCTTCACGTTTCTCGTTTGATTTTGTCCTGCGAGTTTTCATAGCCTTTTGTGAGAGCTTCTCAGGGCACCTTGATATTCCATTTTGGTTTTGCCTTGCCATTTGAGTGGCAATGCCATACAAGATTCGAGCAGCCTCCAACAGTATTGGACAAAGTTCAACTGTAAGACAGAAGAGGAAAAACACACATAAAACAAATACACATTAAAATGCGATGATTATCCAATCAAACCAAGGTCTTTAATGCCAAAAGTGCACGCATCCAGGCCATTTAACTCATAAATTAGTTACTCAACATGAAACACAGTTGCAAAATGGCAGCTGAGTATTTCAAATCAAATGAAAACAAATTTATCCAGTATCTTCATATTTTACCTTTTCCTTTAGACTTTGGGTCACCTTCAGATTCTGCAATTGGAAGAAAAATGACCCTATTAATGGTATTTCAAAGATCTGCATGTATCTTTGTTAAATAATAGCCTGAAAAGACCATCTCAAAAAACTAGCCCTTCAAGAAACTGTACCTAACAGAACATGGGATGTTATAGAAGCCAGTGATGATGACAAGCTCCACCCACAACAAGGTTTCAATGAATCAACATTATTTCCTACAACAGCCAACTTTGGTCCTTGTGAAGGAACTAATGTCTCATCATAAGCAAGGGACTCCAAGTTCATAAAGCAATCAGAGGCAGACCCAGGAGAATTGAAACTGTCTCTTATTCTTACCCATCTACCTTGGCATGTACTCCTACTTGGCAAACATTTAACTGAATCAGAATTAGTTCTGGAGTACCCACTGAAAGTGTGGGACCAGGGAAAAGCTGGCAAGCTAGCTCGGCGAGATGTTGTCTTTCCTGGACGTGGATCAGGGACATGCCTTGATGATGTAGCATGCTTGGTTGCATCCAGAAGCAAAGACTCCAGATCCTTGGGTGGAGGAAGTGCCAAATGTTCCAAAGTATCTTTAGGTTGGTCAAACGAAAAATCAAGCAAATTAGCAGGAGTTTCAGGCCTGTTGCAAGAATCCTGTATCTACAAAGGGTAAGTAACAATCGCATGTTAGATGACAACATACCAAAACATTTCTTTCATTTGAGCCTAAAGACTTAAAAAATCACACAGAATTGCATACAGGTCATCCCAAATTTCAATCAGCTCTACAAACTGATTTCCAATGGATATTGTCGGGAGTAAAATGACACTCAAGGTGACTTGAGTTCGAAATTTAATAATAAGATTTTAGAAAGAAAATGTGAATAGTTATGTGTTTGTGTGTTAGGGGTTCGTAGAGAGAGGAAGAGTTTACAAGGACTTATTAAGCGAGCTGTTAGACTCTCATCTATGCCATGCTTCTCTACCTTCTCTTGCATTCAATAACTTCATTGAACTAACCTTGTTAGATGAAGAAGACATATTAGTTGCTGAAGAATCTCCATTTTCCACTATAGAAACAGAGTTAGATGGGCATGTGGGCATTTTCTCACTGGAACAGACATCCATCTCGGCAAAATACTGGAACTGTGCAGGCCTGGGGAACTGGAGAACTGAGCAGGCTTTTCTAACTGAATGCAGACAATTTTCAGTCGTATTTGCAGCTTTCTTCCCCTTGTCTTTGCCTAAGCTAGGACAGTCATAAGTGCCATTGAGAAGATCATTCAATGATATATCATCTACAGGCTTTGTGATGTCATGAACATCTGCCTTCAAACCACATAGTCCTGAGATTAATATCCAAATATAAACACATGAGTTTCATGCAACCCTACCTAACAAGAAGATACATAGCACAATAAGTTACCAGCGCAATAGAAACAGGCAAAAAAAAGTGATGCAGAAAGTGAAGATAAGAGGCATAATCTTCAAAGCGCGCATAAAAAGAAGCAAAATCTGTGAAATTATGAATCATATGGTTAAATCTCATAGACTGATGGCAACCAAAAATCAAATGTCCATTCATCACCAGGACAGCACACAACTTCAGTGAACCAGACTAGAAGCAGGAAATGGGGGCAGTTTCAAACTAGCAAAGAAAGAGGCAATAGACTCGATTTGTGCCTTCAACAACATCCTGATGCTCCCTGCTCCCTCACCCCAAATTGATGGGTTTCTCTCAAAAACTTGCCAAAAAAGTCTCAAGCAAACCTCATTAATTTGAATTCTAAATCATGCATAAAAAAATATCAACATTGCACCAATTGCATAAATATTAGAAGGTTGATTTGGCATATATCTCTAATGTATGAAAACTAAATTTGTATGCATGGATGTAACACAGAATAAGCCAAGGCAACAATTACAAAATTTACACATATTGTCAATCAAAACTAATCATAAAACAAAAGCAAAATATTCATGTGACTGTATCATACCAAAAAAGCTGTTCCCTCCAGCAGCTGAACCAAAGCTCGACAAACCCGCCTTGACAGAGAAGGAATCATATTTAGTCTTCACAGTAACTCTAGAGTGTCTCCTTTCACCTCGCTTGCTACCAAAGTTGTTCTTTTGTTTTGCCGATTGAGTTTTTTCTAAAATGTACATTAGATATATAAACCACACAACAGTATTAGGATTGAGCTCGCCAACAGCTTTTACATCAATATTTACTGTTGCATATTCTTATACACCCAGTACTAAATTGCACGTAATAGAAGAACATATGATAGGTTATTGTTAATTGCTACAATCGAATTTCAGTGATGCCAGCAGTTGTAAGTGATATGGAAAGATTAAATCTATCCAAGATCATTTTGAGAATTCATCCTGGCACAATTCAGATTTTGACTTAAGTAACACATGAATTGTAAAAGAAAAGACAGTGAAAGACTATCGATTTAGAGAAGTGGAAGAGAAAAGGTATGCTGCAGTTCCAAAACTGCTTTCTCTCTGTGTGTATGTTTTGCAAGCAATACAAAGAGGAAATAAATGCACACTTATAGGAATCCTGCTAGGTATTCACCATAGCTTGCAGACACAGGCAGCCATCATATTAGGTGAAGAGCTGCCATATTACATGAATATAGAATTAAACATGTATGTACTAGAAAACATTATAATTGTTAATAAATTGACCACAACTATGAAAATCATTTTAAGGAGCTTCCGCCAGAGGCATCTTAAGTAGACAGAAAAATACTTGAGGTCAACTGGTTATTTTATACCAGGGAAAAGGGGTTTACCATGAGAGTCACTCTTGGTTGGATTTGAACCTAGCTTATCAGAGGATTCCTTTGAGTTGTCAACAACAGCTGGACCGGTGGAATCTTCCGATGGAGATAATCGTGGTCTCTTAGAGCAACCACTGCTACTTCTTGACACTTTCCCTCCTCTTCTTTGCACTTGCACTTCTTCAGGCCTAGGAATCCATGAAGGCCCATTTGAGCCACCACAATGGAGGTGTTCAGAAATGTCTCTAATAGGTAAGCTCAGCATCTGAATTACTCGCTCACAGTGTTCCAAAGGTAAAACCCTCTCCCGTGAAGTTGACCCAAAAGCGGTGATTGAGCTCGTTTCATCTGCCAAACAATGGTTAATAGAACATTACACCACCGAGAAAGACCACACACCCGCACATGCAAGCAGCCACAAATGATAAATACAT